TCTTTTTGAACATTTAACTCTTGTAAACTCTTTACAACTTTTTTGAGCAAAGCATTTAGTATTAGAAAACAAAAAGTTACACTCCCGGTAGAAGCTACAGTGTGTAGAAGCTAGCTAAATTCACTATTCATTCAAGTTCAGGGGCTCAAAGTCAAAGTCAAAGTTAAAGTCAATGTTTATTTATATAGCGCTTTTACAACAGGTGTTGTCACAAAGCAGCTTTACAGAAAAATCTGGGTCCAAGCCCCCATGAGCAAGCCAGTGGCGACCGTGGCAAGGAAAAACTCCCTAAGAGCAAGAGGAAGAAATCTTGAGAGGAAACCAAGACTCAATAGGGGAACCCATCCTCCTCTGGTTGACACTGGATAGCAAACAGCATTAGCATAAAATATTAGAATACAAAATGGGGAAAACAGGCAGAGCAATGGTTAATTAGATAGTTTTGTTTATGCAGCAGCAGCATCATCAGGAGGGTCAGTTCATGAGGGCGAGGCTTGCACAGTGTTGAAGCTCAATGGTGGTCAAACTGGTCCAGAATGCTGGCGACCACTGGGCACCCGATCAAGGCAGAAGAAGCAACAACATCAGATGCACAGGATGGGCAGCTGTTTAACTCGGCAAAGAAAAGGAATACACACAGAGAGTTAGTTCTGTAAAGGGTGAGTAATCACAGATTACAGCATTAACAGAGAGCAGCACAGACTCTGGCAGGTCTAATTATTACAGCCTAACTAAAAGGGAGAAACCAGAAAGATAACAGAGACATGAGGCTCCCCGAGATGTCAGCGCCCGTCCGCTCCACCTTCAGCAAACTAGAGTGAATGTGTGAGAGCAGCGGGACGACAGCACCAACACTCCCAGTTTACCATAATACTCTATGACCATGAACCCCCAGATCTGGACCTTTTATCTGACAGGGAAAATTACTTACCAAAGGCTTGACTAAACAAGTAAGTTTTTAGCCTAGACTTAAAGAAAGCTTGTTAAGGCTTTTGCTGGAACATTCAGACAGCAGGGCATTACAGTAATCTAGACTTGAGGTAATAAATGCATGAACTAGCTTTTCTGCATCCTATAGAGATAACGCATTTCTTAATTTAGCAATATTGCAGAGATGCAGGAAGGCTATTCTAGTAATATTCGTTATATGTGCGTCGAAGGACAGATCGGGATCTATTGTGACACCAAGGTTTTTTACAGATGAACCTGACGCAACTGAGAAACTATTAAGTTTAAGTGTTAAATTAGACAGTTTGTTTCTAGCAGCTTTTGAACCAAGAAGCAGAACCTCTGCTTTATCTGAGTTAAGTAGGAGAAAGTTACTTGACGTCCAGTCTTTTATGTCCTTTATACAGTCCTCAATCTTGCTAAGTTGAATTTTATCATTTGGTTTGCTTGATCTATATATAACTGTGTGTCATCATCATAGCAGTGGAAATTGATGCTTACTGATAATGGTGCCCAGTGGTAGTATATATAATGTGAATAATATAGGTCCTAAAACAGAGCCTTGTGGAACACCATACTTTACTTTTGCGAGGACAGATGATTCACATTAACAATCTGATAGTGATCAGTGAGGTAAGATCTGAACCAGGAAAGAGCGATTCCTGTTACCCTTACAAGGTTTTCTAGTCTATCTAGTAATATAGAGTGGTCTATCATGTTAAATGCCGCATTAAGATCAAGGAGAACTAGCAAAGACACATTTCCTTGGTCAGAGAATAATAAAAGACTGTTTACGATTTTTACTAGTGCTGTCTCTGTACAATGATGTGGCCTAAAACCAGACTGAAAATTTTCATGTATATGATTCCTATGCAAATAGGAACTTAATTGTTTTGCCACAACTTTTTCCAAGATCTTTGATATAAAGGGGAGATCAAAATCACAATTTTGAATAAGCTGATAATAAATGAGCATTTGAAAATAATCGAGTATATGTGTGAGGAAAGGAATCCAGCTTCTATGAAACACTTACAGCTTCAGAAGCATAATCTGAACAGATTTACCATTTGTTGTTATGTTCTAACTCAAAATTCTGTTCCACCTTAAATATTGTGGCAGTTATATGCTGGTGCCTGTACAGGCTTCTGATTGTAACCGCTACATCAATTAAGGTGGAATGGGAAATAAGAAAAAGACGCTTCCGTTTCATGTAATCTCTATCCCCTGTATGAGACTCTGTCTATGTGACAGTTACCAATCTGAGGCCCTACGACTAGATGTTCATTGAGAAACATTCTGGAAAATTGTCTAGAAAAACCCTTCTTGCTATCTGTAGTCTACACTTTCCATTCTGAAAATCATTTATAATAATACAACAGCCATTTCTATAAGAATCCTATAAGAATCTTATAGTAATTTCAAACAAATACTATAGTTTACAACAGGATACACAAGTGTAATAGAGTTCTATACGACAGCACTACAGGAATATTATAGAGGTGAAAAACTGGAACTGCCTGCAGATCAACGCAGGAAAAACCAAGGAGCTGGTGGTGGACTTCCGCAAGTCCAAACATTCTCCTCCGGTGCCTGTGAACATCCAGGGAATGGACATTGAGATTGTGAAGTCCTATAAGTACCTGGGTGTTCACCTCAACAACAAGCTGGACTGGACTGACAACACAGCTGCCCTCTACAGGAAAGGCCAGAGCAGGCTACATCACCTGAGGAGACTCAGGTCCTTTGGCGTGCAGGGGGCACTTCTCAGGACCTCCTTCGACGCTGCGGTGGCATCAGCCATTTTTTATGGAGTGGTGTGCTGGGGTAGGAGCATCTCCAATGCTGACAGGAAGAGACTGAATAAGATCATCAGGAAGTCCAGCTCTGTCCTGGGATGTCCTCTTGACCCAGTGGAGGTGGTGGGGGACAGGAGAATGAGGACTAAACTAACAAACATGCTGAAGAACCTGTCCCACCCCATGCACCGCTCTCTGACAGCACTGAGCAGCTCCTTCAGTGCCCGGCTGCGGCACCCGCGGTGCGTGAAGGAGAGATACCGCAGGTCCTTCCTCCCAGCCGCTGTCAGAATCTATAACAGTCACAGCACTCAGTAGACAGTAGTTTACAATTACTCTCCATGTGCAAGAACTCTCAACATCACTGCCACAGCACTTTACTGTGTGCAATATCTCAACCCACCATGCGTAGTATATTCACTGCGGATCACTGTCAATATGTTTACCACCATTATGTGCAATTATGTCAAGTGCAATATTTCTCCATTTATTACTGTTTATTTATTTGCTATTTTATTCACTGTGCAATACTCACTACAATACATACATTTCTAAATTTAAATTTAATACTTTGTATATTTTTCTTGTAATTTTTGTACATATACATATATCTTTATATTTTTATTGTTTATTCTATTTTATATATTGTTTGTATATTTCCTGCTGCTCTGTCTTCTGTGCTGCCGTAACACCGCAAATTTCCCCGTTGTGGGATTAATAAAGGATTATCTTATCTTATCTTATCTTAAAAAAATATAATTTATTACAGAATGAGGCTATAATGATTTCAATGCAATATCAAAAGAGCAAAAAAAATAAAGTTCAAAACAAAACTGTACTCTCTTTCACGTATCTCTAATTTACAGTCAAAAATGTGAATAAATTCACACAATGAATTTTTTTACAGTAGATTCAGCACATCATTTAATCATGTTTTTGAGGCATGTTTCATTTTTGTTGGGTTGAAAATTGAGACATGCTATATTAAGATATACAAAGAAGAGGCAATTCAGGTTTTTGTATTGGTTTATCTCAGTAATATTGTGCAGTCTTTTGTTTATAATTTCCAAATAATTTAGACTTCAGATATTTTAACACATAAAATATCAAAAATTGCTTCAAATCTTGACTTTAGAAATGAAAACTGTATTGATCCTGAAAAAAGGTGTATACTGTTACATTGCTATTATAGAAGTATTATAGAGCATTATAGGAATCTTTTAGTTTCTTATAAGTCCAAGAAATGCTCACAACTGATGTTTAGCAACTGTTTTTGATGTGTTTATATCCTCTGGTCACTTAAAGGACAAAAACCAAAACAAACGACACACACCTAACAGGCATAACATTAAAACCACCTTGTTTCTACACTCATTGTCCATTTTATCAACTCCACTGACCATAAAGGAGCACTTTGTAGTTCTACAATTACAGACTGTAGTCCATCTGTTTGCATACGTTTTTAGCCCCCTTTTACCCTGTTCTGCAATGGTCAGGACCCCCACAGGACCACCACAGAGCAGATATTATTTGGGTGGTGGATCATTCAGAGTGGTTTGGTGTGAATTGTTTACAGTGGTGGTGTTAGGAACCAGACGTCCACCTCTAAAAGCTCCCTCACAGAAAGTTATTACATGAAATGGTTATAAATACACTGCCTGATGCTTGAGACACTGTTTCACAGCAGTTTTGTGATAAGGTTTTAATCTAAAACATATTACAACCCAATTTATTTTAATCCATTCATGGTGGAGGGGTACCTAAAGGGTGTTCTAAGGCAGCATACGTTGCTGAAAAGGATCATTACAAACCATTAGGAATTTTATATCTCAACCCCTGAATTATGCTGAAATGTTGAAAAATCGGTGGAATTGCCCTTAAATTAAATGGTATCTTGCATTGTCTTGTTGGAATAGCGGTCATTTGTTGTGCTATTGCTCCTTTACTGACAGGATAAACACAGCAAAAGCTGAAGTTGGCTTCTTGTTCGCCAGCTTCTTATTTAAATTTTCCGTTCCACCTTAAATGGTACAGTTACTGCTATACCATTTAAGGTGGAACGGAAAATTCGAATTAAAAAGCAGGCAAAGAAGTCAACTCCAAGTTCTTCTGAACATCAGTGTATGCCGTGGGTGCATGCGAGCAACTCTTTTTGGCTTTAATACAGTTGTAATACAGAATTTCTTTAATTTTGAATGTTATTTTTTTCAGCTTTTGAAAACAGTCACGTCCACCCACCCCGACGTCACATCCTGTGACAGGAAGCGGTCGTCATTCTACAGCAGGCTGTGAGTTGGAGCTCTGTGAGTGTCTTATAACCGGAATATAATCTGTGACTTGAGCCTACTGAGGTCCGTTTGAATGAAACTCTCTATTTTCATTCACCTAGTTTAGCTCCTTTCGCTTATTTACACGTTTTGGTGCGAGTATTTTATGCCTGTTCACACAAATACTAGCTTAGCTAGGCAGCTAACCAGCAATATCTCATCAAATGAGGCGTTTATCTGTCTGGCTGACAAACTAACTAAGCTATTCTGTATGTTTTGAATTGGGCTTCATCCCAAACGCCTCGGTGTTTGACGTCTAGTGCACTAATTTAGTGTAAAAGCCATTTTTCTCCTGACTTGGGTAACCTAGTGTACTATGTAGTGAACAGGGAACCATTTGAGATTCAGCCTTGATTAACTTAATTAAGTTCCAGTGAGTATGTGCTCTTAAAGGGGAATTCCGCCGATTTTTAAAAAATAATTGCTTAAGTGAGATGTAAACAAAGTCATTCAGAGTGGTCTTATAAACTAGGGGTCTACAACACGAATGTAGCCATTTTATTTTCTATCCGAAACCCACCAGTTAATCTACATGTGTCTTCTGAGTGTTTATATGAAATGTTTATGATAAAATAGTGGAAAATCTGAAAAAAGAAGTATTTCAGTGGACTGTTTTGCCTCACAACCCCCTGCATATACCCCTTTGCCATGAATAGATTAAAGTAAATGGATTAACAAGACGTTTTAGGCCAAAACTTGGTTTCTCTAGAGCAGAGCATTTCACATTAAACCACTCTGAATGACTTTGTTCACATCTTAACCATTTAAAAAATAGGTGGAGTTTCCTTTTGACTAATGCTTTATCACACAAACTAAATGCCTTTTTGGCCAGTATTAAGGGTTGAAGGCAGAAGTCTTGGCAAGTCAGTTAGACCATCTGTCCAAATGAAGGGCATTAATATGGAGTTTGCCCCCTGTTGCTGCAGTAACAGCCTCTACTTTTTTGGGAAGGCTTTACAGTAGATGTTGGAACATTGCTGTGAAGATTTGATTGAGCATTAGTGAGGTCAGGTATTGATGTTGGATGATCTGCTCTGGATCTCTCCAGCTCATCCCAAAGGTATTAGATGGAGCTTCATCAGTCCAGAGAACGCAATTCCATTGCTGTTCCAATGCTGGTGGGGTTTATACCCCTCTAGCCGGCGCTTGGCATTGAGCATAGTGACCATAGAGCATTGATTTTGTGCTGTTCAATGCTTTTCTATGGATATTAATCTGTGTGCACAACTGAACACCTTTGCCAGCGGGAAGTACACCTTAAAACAGCTGAATTCACTCATTAAAAGAGCTGTCAGGATAGTTTTGGACCTTTTTGGGTTCTTCAGTAAAGACGATGCTTCTATATAGAACCATGGACACTCAAAAAAAAATTGCATGCTTAAATGGTTCCTTGCACATTGAAATACTTCTTCAGATTGATGGAGAATGTGTTGAATATGCTTCTTTACTTTTCATAAACGGTTCAATGGAGCACCTGAAAGGATTCTGCTATTGTTACTGCGTCAAGCTTGTTACAGTAGAAGAACCCTTTCTGGAGCTATATAGAACCATATACAACAAATTGTCTATCTATCTGAAGAACCATTTCATCATACAAAAAAAAAAACCCTACAAGCATGCAGAAGGTTCATTGAGTGTTTGTGGTTCTATATAGAACCACTGTCTTTTCTAAAGAACCCTTGGAGAGCCATCTTTTTAAAGACTGTACTATATTATGTTTACCAGAAAAGTTAATAAACTAAAGGTAATGTTTTCATTTCAGACTATACACTCAGATGTCGTGGATCCGGGAAGGAGAACTAAGCCTTCTGGAAAGGCTCTCTGCCAACATCCTGAAGGTAACTTTAACTTTTCCCCTGCTGCTTTTTATCAGGGTGACTAACTTACTTAGAGTCAGCTGTGTCTGAGTTGGAGGGGAATTCCACTGATTTTGTCAAAATGTCTGCATAATTCAGTCTTTCAGATGTAAGCAAAGTCATTCCAAGGGATTTAGTTCATTGTAGAGAAACTCAAATTTGTTGACAGTGGTAGTGATGGGAACCAGAGGCTGAGATGTCTACGACACAAATATAGCCATTTTATTTACTATCAAAAACCACCAGTGAACCTACACAAGTAGGTTATATGAAAAAAAAAAATAGTTTTCATTGCCTTACAATTCCCTGCATGCACCCTTTCACCATTCGGATGTCTGGTTCCTATCACTGTGAACAGCTCTGACTCGTTAAGTTCAAACCACTATGAATGACCTTGTTTACATTATTATATTGAGACATCAAGGCTGTGTTATATAGTCTTATGGTTACTGTAATGTTTTATCTTCTGTCTGTATGGGCTATTAATAAGCAGCCTTTAAATGAGCAAAAAGGTCAATAAGGTCATGCTGAGTTGTTGCAGTTTTCTTGAGAAATACACAGATGAAGAAAGCTGTGGTTGAGAAAGTCATGGATGAATGAAGTGAATTGGTCAAGTCTGAGAGGTTGTTGTACTCATGGTGAAGTAAGCCATGGCACATTGCCCTGTTAATGCATACTAGTGTTTGAACAGCTATCTCAGGAGATTCACCATGAGCATGAAAACAAACCATCTTTTCTTTTTGTCACAGCGATCCACAGTAGATCTGATTTTACATGAATTCATGAATGAGGAGTTTCTCAAGAAAAGCAGAATATGTTGTATCTGTCTTAATCAGCCAAGAAAATGTCTTTTCAGCACAGGTAACCAAATGTATCAGAGCAGAGGTGCACAACTCTGGTCCTGGAGGCCCAGCATAATTTGGTGATTTGCTTGCTCATACACACCTGAATCAACTCAATTGTTAATTGCCAGGTTTAGTTGGTGTGTTTGAGTAGGGAAACAGCCAAACTGGGCTTGACATTGGCCCTCCAGGACTGGAGTTGTGCACCCCTGTATTAGAGCTTTGCTTTCTCAACTGATGCTGTAGACAGCTACAGTCCTGCACAAAGGTCAGAGACCATCCTTACTTTATTGAATTTCCTGTTAAAATGACATTCAAGTACAAGTTATACATTTTTAAGTGTTAGACAAGTTAGCACACTGTCAAAGTTCAGTCTTAGAAGTTGCATTTTGTTGCATTTTCTGCTTCTCGCGATCCAAGTAGTCTCAAATTTACAAGTTTTTATCAGTCCATAAAACTTTATGTTTTAGATGTCGAATGTTGTTCAAATGTTCCTTTTTTTATCTGTCTCCTTTTCTCAGTGAGGCTTCTTGACAGCTACACATCCTTTCATATCTCCTGAAAAGTGAATAACTTGAACACAAAGGCTGTTTTGACTGGAAATTTAATAAACAAAGGGTGGTCTCTGACTTTTGCACAGCAAAACGTCTGCTGAGTAAAGAACGACATGCTAACAAAACACCCTGTGCGCTAACAGTTTGTCTACTAAATCGAACTGTACCCAGCTTCCCAAAAGCATCTCAGTATTAAGATCATCTTAACTGGAGAGAGAGTGTTCACTGTGATGCTCACTCTACCATTTAAGAATCATCTTTGTGCTAAGATGCTTTTGGGAAACAGCACTGAGGCACAACTTGTCAGCATCTCTTAGCGCTGCACTGCCATCACCATTGTCATTTCTGAATCTAGGCACTTTTCCTACATGTTATGCTTGCGCTGTATGTCCCGAAAGTTTATAGACACCTGCTTCACTAATTATAAGAGTGTCTGGATACTTTTAATCATATAGTGTATATATTCTGTGCATGGAATTTATAGTTAATGAAGGTGCGAAAGGTGTGGAATCCTAAAGCATATTAATTTATAGTGAATAAATATGATTTTTATTCTGATTTGGCACGTTTTATCTCTGAATAAGATAACATTGTCCTTTTATTGTGTTTTGTTCTCTTCTATATGTGTCTTCGCTGTCTTATGTATTTGCTTTTCTGCAGGCAGGGCCCATGCCCAAGCATGTGGCCTTTATTATGGATGGCAATAGACGTTATGCGCGGAAGACACATGTGGAAAGACAGAAGGGCCACATGCAGGGTTTTGACAAACTGGCGGAAGTAAGTGTGCTACTTATTTCTCCATAACTCAGTTATTGAGATGTAAACAAAGTCGTTTGATGTGAAATGATTCAGCGTAGAGAAACGTAACTCTGATTTCTTTACATTGGTGGTGATAGGAACCAGGGGTCGCCATGTCTAGAACACAAAAATATCCATTTTATTTACTATCCAAAAACAGCAGTGAACCAACACGTCTTCTGAGTTTTATATGTAATACTGATGATGTTAAAATAGTGATCAATCTGAAAAAATATGTTTTCTTGTTTGGGTACTTTATTGCCTTACAATGCTCTGCATGTAGCCTAAAATGTTTTAGGGCAAAATCTTCTCAACAATACCTCAGACATCATGCATTGTATTCATAACCATTTCAGCAGATAACTTTCTGTGAGGGAGCTTTTAGAAGCACCACTGTGAACAATTCTGTGCATTTCACAGTAAACCACTCAGAATTACTTTTTATATCTTAACCTTTTATGCATGCAGAAATTTTGAAAAAACAGTGGATTTGCCCTATAAGAACAGCTGTACCAAAAACAACATATTAGTTCATAGTTTGAAACAGGCCTTGTAAGTTTAATCAGCACAGAAATACTCACCCAGAATCATTTTCATGGTTTGGCTCATCACTGGCCTCTAGTGGTTTAGTTCTGCCATTACAGTATCTAAAAGCAGTTTTGCTACTTGCGTGGATATAGTTAGGATCAAGACTTCAGGGCGGGTGGAAATGATTCACTGAATCTCAGATTTCACCACACTTAGATTTGTTTAGATTATTTTGTAACAGTTCAGAATAGGTCTTAGCATTATGATAGTATTTATCGTTATTGTGATAAATGTCACAATACAATACTGAACATATTGTAGATATCATCATCATGTTTCATTATAAAGAGAGCAAAATTAGTCCTGTTTAAGTGGATTTAGCGCAACACATTATTTGAAAAAAGTGTATTAAAATTGTTGTATTTATAATTTGACAGTATTTTTTTAAATGTAGCACTGCTGGCTATTTTTTATACTGTTCTAGCTGATAAGTACTGTGACATTGTATATCATGAAAATTTCTTGATGTATATATTAATATTAATAATTATTTCCATATCTCCCTCCTCTACTTCAGTAGTGAATACACAAATGTGACTTGAGGAACTATTTATACAGTAGCAATATTTATGTATATTTTAAACATAATGTTTATGTGTCAGAATAGTCCAGGAATTTTATATTGGCCAAGAAATGCATGCATACTTCATTGAATATTATCATAATCTATTATAAGTGGTTAATATTGTAAAATTGGTGCACTAAATCACCACTTTTAGATGCTTGTACACCGCTGTTTTGCATGTATAACATTTTACAAATGCAGTAAAATTGGAATGTTTGGAATTATGCATTCAAATCTTCTTTTCCAAAAAATACACGTCGTCCACTTTTCTGGGCATTTTCAGTAGTGTTAAAGGGCCCATGTCATGGAAAACTGAATTTTCATTGCTTTTTTGAAATAAGAGTTTGAAGGAGTGTGTAAATGTTGTTAAGGTTTTATCGTTCACTTCTCAGTCCATACAGTCCATATGTGGAAACTAAGCTGCGAAATCAGCCCATTTTGATCTCACTGGTTTTGTGATGGCATGAAAGCCAACACATTTACATTTACCCACATGTTCAGCCCACAGCAGTTTAGCTTCATTCATTCATGCTAAAGTTATAAGGAGTTACAACAGAGCTCCTTTACATACAGTAGTCCTAAAGGCACTGCTACAAAAAATTCCCAGGGTGTGATTGTTTTGAGTCCCTAATCTCTCATTTTAGATATTTTTATTAACGCGCTGTGCTGTTTGACCTTTTAGACGCTACGTTGGTGTCTGAATTTGGACATCCGTGAGGTGACAGTGTACGCCTTCAGCATAGAAAACTTCAAGCGCTCTAAAGAAGAAGTGGATGGCCTGATGGAGCTGGCTAAAGAGAAGTTCCTCCGTCTGCTGGACGAACAGTGAGTGACACTGGCAGCAGCTCAAAAACGTTGTGTTTGTAGACCCAATCAGAATGTTTCTAAACAAGGTTGGCAATCCTTGCATCCAGTCAGCATGCGGGCAGCTATTTTTACATAACTTTAAATATACAGAACAAACTGAACTGAAACATTAGCAAGTTTTTCCAATTTTCCAGCTTGCAAAAGCCAGTAGAGCTGCTATTAATAGTATAAATCCCAGTGAGGGAAAGTGAGTACACAGACCTTTAACATGGCAATTCTCACAGAGGTGCTATGGAAATTAGCATCATATAAGATGCTTTTAATGTGGTTTTTTAAATTATACTCTGCATTATGTGGCTGGTGCATGTTTAGGATTATATGTCAATGCACAGTCCTGTTAATGATGAAGTTATCAAGCTATCAGAGTAAGAATTTAGCAAGCAGCTTAGACCATAACAGCTTCAGGAGTTACAGGCTTGCTAATATGAACAGCAACATTAGGAGCATTTAGTTTGTCCAGCTGTGGAAATTTAGACATATACAGTAACTGAATATATTGATATTTTATCCAAATTTATTCTGTTTTTCTAATATCTTGGCCAAAGAAGTGTTACAAATAACTAGTACAAAATTCTGATCTATCAGTGTAGCGCTACCAGTTATCCACCCAGCAGTAGGTTCTTTGCAGTTGAGATGTAACACTGTTTTGTCCTATGGTAATATGGAAGCTCTGGCACATAACACAGCTAGCAGTACTCACTATGTACAGCTCAAGGGCAAATCAGACCATTTTATCTTTTCTAAAACATCCATCTTTATGTTTTTATATAAGTACAATTAACAGTTAGCAGCAGCATAGAGGAAAAGATATCATTCTTGTTACAGTTGTATGCAAACATTTGAAAATTACATGTTTTGTCGATTTCCTAAGTACAAAATAAGTGAACTCATCTTCTACAGAGAACATGCTTACCTATGACATTTATCTGCAAATGTTAGTGCGTAATTTCTATTTATTTCCCTTTTTTCCTTTCCATATGTTGTATTCAGTAAATAAACATTAATTGTGCATTAAAATGTGCAGAAGTGTGTTCTCTATAGAGGATGTGTTCACTTAGCTTCATTTAGAAAATCAACAAAGCATGTTGTTTCACCAGAGCATCCAAACTTTTGCATATGACTGTACTTAACATCTGTGGTCAGCAGAGTGATAAGGGTATAGTGGAAAAACGTGCTGTAATACCTGAAGAATGCTTTTCAGCCAATTAGATTGTGTAAGTTGATGTATAGATCTGTACAAGTGACTCGTTTTGTGTGTTTGATTCAAGAGAGAATCTTGAGAAGCATGGCGTCTGTATCCGGGTGCTGGGAGACCTCACACTACTGCCGGAAGATCTCCAGCGGCTCATCGCTAAAGCTGTGGTGGCAACAAGAGCACATAACAGGTAAGAAAGCCACTGTTTTTCTCTCATCAGAGTTTAGCACTTGCAAAATGCAACTGTGAAAGAAAGCTCGCAGGGTCAGTGAGCTTTATGTGAAGGAGAGCCTTACTGCCGGCTTTACTCACTGTAAGACACATTTTTGGACAAACTACTTCTTTAAAGTGATAGTTTAGTAAAAAAAATCAATGCACAATGATGTCAATCAGCCATGTCATGTTTGGTGTCTGAAGTTTGCTTCTTTAGTTTTGCACTGGCTAATGTAGCTAACAAGTAATGAGAGCTTATAGTGATGCTCATTCCAAATCATTCAAAATGAATCTGTTGTGCCGATCTGATTCAAAATGTCCAAGTTTTGCACATGACCTGATGTCATGTAGGCTAACAATATCAGGATGTTTATATGCTCAGCTCAGTTGAAAGCACAACACAGTCAATCTTACTTCCATACATTATATACTTGTCTTTGAATGTTTGTTATTTGTTTATAGGAGTGTAAAAAGCTTAGTCTGTTCACACCACGTCTGAGAATTTGTTCTATAAACTGAAACCTCAGTAGAGTTTCGCAAGAAAAAGTCACATATAATCAGAGCTATTTTATACAGAAGCTGCAGGGGGCACAAAGACTCATGATTAGATAGAGCTGAATCTAGAACATGATGATGTAGATACACTGCGTTTTGAAACCTCCAAAAGAATCAAAGTGTCCGAAATTTGCCTCAACTGCCCCCTTTTATAGTAACAGTATGTCGTACAGTGTCAGAAATGACATGGGTAAGTGTGAGATAACAACTAGCATGTGACAAAGTGGGCATAGTGTTCCCACTGTGCTAACTGGTGTACATAAGCCTCTATTACTTGTTAGCTACATTAGCCAGTGCAAAACTAAAGAAGCAGACTTCAGACACCAAACATGTCTTGGTTGATCAGCCACATTTGGGGTAATGGAGGTAAGAGACAAATTTTAAGATTTACAATTAAACAGCATAATATATGTTATTTACTATGTAACATAATACTGATTTTTCTTTTTTGCTGAATTATTCCTTCAACATCTTCAGCTGCAGGAGCTACATTTCCAACTTCATGGTGTTCTGTTTTGTCTGTTTCGGTTGCCAGATGTTTTCTGAACGTGTGCTTTGCATATACATCAAGACATGAAATCGCCAACGCTGTCAAAGAGATGGCCTGGGGAGTCGAGCAAGGCCTGATAAAGTCTAGGTAACTGATTGACCAGAATGTTGCTGCAGAACTTGCTGCACAATATATCGTTCGTTAATTGTTATTGCGATGTTGGCCTCTGCAGTATTGATATTGTTCTAAAGAAAATGCATATGACCCTGTAATATGCATATGGTCAGTAACCAGTCACAGTTATAGACAGTATGCTTTAATTTATTCAATATTCAGTACTGTTTTGTAAAACATTGAATAAAAACCATTCTACTCAGAGATTTTAATGTCTGAATTAAAATCCGGCACTACTAGTGCCTTGTGTCTGTGTGTCAGAATATTGTAATCATGTTTTGTGAAAATTTCTTTCAGTACCATGATGTAATATTTTTATCATATCACCCACCCATAGTTCTGAGCATTCTGAACAATCACATCTTTGATTGAGGTTGTGTCTGTGTTTTCATGAAGGTATTCATGCAATCCAACAAAAGTGACTTATTGTGATCAAAATAATGCAGGCCAATCTATATTTATGTCACATTATCGATCCAACAGTGCACTTTATATGTACTGTGAGACATACTGTGAAATGTTGCAATTAATCACAGTGCATTTATGTATGTATTTTAGTGATGTGTCAGAAGCGCTGTTGAATGAGTGCTTGTACACCAGCAACTCTCCAAACCCCGACCTGCTCATCCGCACGTCCGGCGAGGTGCGACTCAGTGACTTTCTGCTGTGGCAGGTACGAAAACTCACGGAGGCCTAAAAGAACTTTGCTTGCGTTGGAATACAATTTCTGAACACGTATTATGAAAATGAAAATGCTTTTAGAAGCATTAAGCTCTTCAGATGTCTGATTCCTATCACCACCACTGTGAACAATTCTGACACTGCCAGTTTCTCTAGAATGGAGCATTTCACACTAAGCCACTCTGAATGACTTTTTGTTTATATTTCTGTAGAAATTGTGTGATTTACAGGCTTATTCAGTATCTGCCAGGTAATGGAAGCTTTTTTTCAGATCTTTTAGTGAAATTGTAGCGTTTGGTTCTTAGATGCTGTTCTTCGATGACCAGTTAATAAAGTTTTGTCACAAGCAGAAATGTCAGTTCTGTGACATTCCATTCTTGCATGACTTGATTTCTACAGTGATTTGAGAAGAATGAGGATGCTTCAGTAACATTCTGTACATTCTACTGTTGGTCACTGACAGTGATTGATTTGTAGTCTTTCATTGTTGTGTGTTCCACAGACCTCTCACTCTTGCCTAGTGTTCCAGTCCATCCTGTGGCCGGAATACTCTTTCTGGAACCTCTGTGAGGCTATTTTACAGTACCAGCAGAATTATCGCTCTCTTCAGGTATGTCATGACATCCTGTGACATCAAAGTTGCATCAAAAGTTGATTATGATACAGCGTGATTCAAAAAGATGCATCCGATTTTAAAATGATTTATTTCACTTGTGAATCATTACAGAACAATGCAGTGAATTGTAAATGGTTTAAGTGAGCAAAAAGTTTATTATGTAGTTTTACAAGTGCTCGATATGACCTCCTTCAGCTGCACGGACAACATCAACACCATAGTCAAATTCATCCCATACTCAATTGAGCATGTGGGGTGTCACTGTACTCACGGCTCTTCCAATGCGATTTCGGAGATCATCCAGTGTTGTGGAACCAACAACGAATGCTCTGAGCTGTTGGAGGTTCACTGCCGACGAAAATCACGTTGCACAGTTATGACTGATTCACTCTTATTGAAGTGGAGAACGCAAAACGCTTTCTGCAGGGGTTGCCATCTCCTCACAAACTGAAGGGAGCCATCTTCCAGTGACAGTCAGAAACTCTATGACCTCTTTCAATTGGTATGTGATTGGTTCCTAGGTGCCTCATGGTTGTAAAAACATGGCACTTTAAAATCGGATATGATATTTTCTTCTAAGAATATTCAGCAAGATACAGTAATGTGCAAAGAGAGAGCATCTTTTCATTTATTTGATTTCTTGTCAAAATGAGCATTAAGTACAAGTTATTCATTTTTCAGCATCGGAAGGAAACATTTAACAGAAAATCACGCAGAAGCCCCCAAGACTAAGTGTAGCATCAAACCTGTCAGTATTTAATTAGTCCACTATTTATTTTTTGCACCTACTGCCACTTTACCTTCTTCCGATCATAAAACCAGTCACAGCTGCGTCCTCCCAACAAAAGCTGCCTTTAAAAGCTCTCACTGACATTATGCTCCCATTCAAACAGACACTCACATTCACAAACATTCAAACAGCTACCCAAACTCACCTCAGCTGCATCACATGTGCATCTAAAATGACTAAAGGAGAGCCCTCAATGAGAAAAGACAGAGAAAATAGGAAGGATGAGTCTAAGGCCACTTTTCCACTTTTGAGCCAAATGGTCCTCAAGGCTGTACTGGGCCATTTCATGCTGGTCTGGACTTGTGACACCGGTTATGGTTTCTTTTTTCGACTTTACTCTCGCTGTTGTAAGTTTTATCATCTATATTTGTGATAGCAGAGCACCAGTTAGTTGAACCAAACCTGCATTGGGGTGTTCAGATCTCTTCAGCTATGCTCAGTTAACTAGGAGAGAGGAGCCTGCTTCAGAGGCTCCAGACACCAGAGAACAGGTTTAATTTTGGCTTTCTGTTCCTCTGACATTAGCTGCATCAAATTGAATCGAATTGTGGTGAAATTTGAGATTTCAGTTTGTGAGAGAGAATTAACTGCTAGAATATATCTAGATCAGGGTTTGAGAACTGAAGACCAGAGTCTGGCACAGTCTGTTTTTGACTCATTGAACCCAATTTTAAAGTATCTGCTTGTCTTAACTGTGTTGTAGAAAGCTCAGGAGGTGCACAAAGAGGGCCAGGCCATACACCAGCTGGAGGCGGACCGCTTGTGTGTGGCTGAACAGCTCCAGCATCGAGGCAACGGAAAGCCCATGGACGTTCGTGCCCGACAGACCGAGCTGCTGAGCTATGCCAAAAGCCGGGAGGAGAGAGTGCAACGCTTCCTCTGCGCTCTGCAGCAGAAAAGAGACACTTTCTTCGAACATTTGAGCAGTCCAACAGTTGTGGCTTAGGCCTCTGTTCTCCTAAGGCAGCGGTTCTGGTCCTAGGGTTCCTCTGCTGTGCTCATTTTAGCATCTTTCCTGCTCTAACACACCCACTCATGAAAGGCTTGATTATTAGACTCTTAAAAATAAAGATGCCTTGGACATGCAGCTCTAGGATAAACCTTTAAATGTAGTCCATAGAAGAACCAATTTTGGTTCACTAAAGGACCTTTCATTGGATGGTTTTTAAAGAACCATTTATGAAGTGTGAACAATCTTTCACGTATAAGGAGTCTCCACAAAACATAAGTTCTATGAAGAGTTCTTAAATTGGTATAGAACTTTTAGGTTAAGATTCATCACACTCACTCTTATTCCAACATTTCTCTAGGTAGAACCAAAAGTGGTTGTTTTTTGGCATTGCTCAAAGAACACTTTGTGGCACCTTTTTTAAGAGTGTAGTCCAGAACGTTTACAGTTCAAGAGGTTCAAGGAACTTCATTCACACCAACATATTTAAAACAATGGTTTACCCATCGCAAGGTTCTTTTGGGGAACCAAAAGCGGTTCTTGTGAGACGTTCCGTAAGAACCCCTTGGGCAACTTCATTTTTAGAATTGTAGCTGGTTAGTTGGTTCATGAAGATTCATGAAACTGTCTTAAGAAATTTAACTTAGGAATTTTAACTTATATATGTTCTTAATCTCATAATACATGACTTACCATCATTTTCAGGTTTTGTTGACAAAAGATTTTTGAACATCTGGTTGTTTTTTATCCTTCCAAAATGTCTCACATCATCTAAGATCGACTATAATCAGTAGGCTATATAAGAAGTACCAAATAAATAATTTGAACGCAACAGTGTAAACCTACGTAGACGTTTATTAGGCTTATTCCATCAAGTGGCACTTGTTATAACACTGGCTGAGGTGAAACAACACTAAAATGGACAAAAGCAGCCTTTTAAAGTTAGTTGGAATAAGCCTTCATAAAAGTTTATGTAGGTTTGTCAGTCTTGAAAGGCTTATGTAGGTGTCATAGCAATTCAAATGGTGCTCTTTAGTCATATTTAGGCATATTTACATTGAGGAGCATAGTTATGACTAAATTAGAGTATTTAGTATTGATCTTAATTTAATTTTGTAGTTAACTTTGGCAAACATTTACAAATCTGGCCAAATCCGGTGTTTGAGAGCAGGGAAAAGGCACCATAATGTGCAGGTCAGGGGCATTCCAGGACCAGAATTTGGAACCACTGTTCAGTCCTGGAGTTCCACTATTACTGTCCAGGGCGGCTTCTCGATCAAGCCAGGACTGCCGTAAACAGATAAGGCTCTGAAACCGTGAACGTTAAAAGGTTTTTATATCTAATAATTTGTATATAGTTCAGATGAGAAGGACGTGCCCCCGTTTTATGGGGCAGTGGACTATTTATACTTGTTGTCTTAATGACTGTTCTGGACTGAAAGCATTTCACAGTACACTGCTCAACATGTGAAATGATCTCTGCCAATTAAAAATGTTGATTTTTAACCCTTTGAGGTGTGGAGATTTTGGAATGTGTGGCTCTAGAGTGTAGCAGATGACTATATGTGGTTGACGAGACATTCAGAATATGATTGAATGCCATAATCCTCAAAGGGCTAAAGAGTGGACACTGATCACTTAATGTTACTGTGACAATATGTATACATAAAGACAGATGATTTAGAAAATAAAGTGATCAATATCAAGAATGTGACTACCTTTTTAGTCTCACTGCTACTCACTCTGATTGACAGTGTGTAATTACACTGTGGGCCAGTTTCATAGACCTGGATTAAGCCCAAACCTAGGCTGATTTCCCATTGGTGATACACCATTTAGCACTGCAATTTAGTGTAAGACTAGTCTGGGAAACTGGCCCAAATTAGCAAGAGTTTGTAGACACCTGCACTCTTCTATTCTCTTAAAAAAGATGGTTCTTCAAGGGTTCTTTAGTAAAGAGAATTGGTTGGTTTAACACCAAGACTTGTATCCCTTGTAAGTGGAAAAGGATTCCTGCTCCAAAAATGCTTAAGAATATTTTTCCTGTATTTTTAAACTTTGAAACTGGTCAATTTGACCCACAGCATAACAGGAGGGTTAAGAAACACTCAATGGTTTCTATGGGTTTTTTCAGCAGGGACAAGGCCTGTGGCACAATCCTATCCAGCCTGTTAAGTTATTTTGATTTTCTATTAGTATTAGACTGTTTCATAATGTGCTGCACTACAAACCCCAGCATGCACTGCAACATAATGTGCGCTCCAACCATCTTCCCCCAACAACAATCTATGGAACAGCAGTTACAGCTCAGTTCTGCACAATTCTACACAATTCCACACCAGTCAGACCACCAAACACAGTAGGTGTGTTTCAGCTGCAGTTCAACATTTAAGGTCTCCCTGCTGAAAATAAACATAGAAACCATTAAATGTTTCTGTTGGGCCCTGTTAGTTTTGTAATGTGTTTTGGCTTTTTAATTTGGTTGATAGCACAATATAAATGATCCTAATGGTTTAACAGGTGACCAATGGCTGATTTTAAATGCATTTGATTGTTTCTTAACGGGATCTAAGGGGGACTACAGGAAGCTAGTGGTTTCTATTTAAAATCATTAAACCGTTTTCTATCAGAAAGCAAAAATGGTCTTTTTTAGCAGGACTCGACGTTTTTGCGTATTATAAATAAACAATTGTAGCTCGGGTCATAACAAAATATAATTTAATAAATACAACAGAAACACAGGCGTTCTCTGGTCCACAGATTTGTTGAGATTTTTAATATGGCGCCTTTTGGTGGTCGCGTTTGACACCCCTGATACAAAAGGCCAAAGTGACTCGAACTGAACTGAACGAAGCTACAAGAGCGCCCTCTGTCGGCGAGTCCGGTTTTCGGCTCCATGTCTCTTTAAAATGTAAAGCAACGCCCAAATCACGTGACCGCGGCCGCAGCCAATAGCCGAGCTCGAAATGTAAGATCTGGTTTAAACCGGTTTCTATCTTATATTTCAATATAAAAACTAAATAAACATTCGGCCGTTATTGTATTGAAGCTTTGTGTGGTGAGCACGACGCTGCAGAACCTTATTTAGCCGCTTTTTCCCCCTCATTTTTCCACGCTTTTTTTTGAAAAGCCAAGATGCCTAAAAGAAAGGTAAGGCCGTGCACTTACATATTTTACACCCTTTTAAAAAACAGCAATAATATTGATGCTTTTTCGACACTTTTTCGTGGACGTGTGTTGTTGTTTTTTCGCTCCAATGGCGCTCCGACCGTGTTTTCAGACAAAGCTGTCAGCTCAGCTCCTCCGCTGCTGTCATCCTGTGACGTTGAGTCGTGTAAAAAAATGTAAACAGCCTCGTAAATGTTTCGCTTTTTTACCGTTTATGAGAGTACGAAAGGAGCTAAAGATGCAGAAAAACGCCCTCTAATGTGCATATTTAACCTGATGTGGAGTTTTACTAACGCTAATTCCTCCTGAAGTTGGCTTCTTGTTCGAATTTTCCCGTTCCACCTTAAATACCGCAGCAGTTACATTCTGGATCTTCAGGCGCCTGAATGTAACTGCTGCGCCATTTAAGGTGGAACGGGCAAATTCGAACAGCTTCGCAATTCCTCCGTCGTCGACTTCTTCTCCAACTGTCAGCTCGACCCCCATCTTTTTTTGAGGCTGCTCTGGTGGATTTTATCTCATAAAAGCACAAATAATGACCCAAATTCTTAGGATTGTGATATATTTTTTAATAATTGTGGCTAAAAACGGTCGCTGCGTTGTAAGAAGTTGTATTAAACGTTAACGTTGGGTTACTATTTGCTGTAAAATACCATTTGCTGTTCTTGCTGTCGTGTTTACTGAACACCTGCCTCCAATGGCAGAGAAGACTGCAGCCTTTTGTTGCTTTGAAAATACATATTTCGGCTCAGTATTTTTGCAGTGTTGTGCAGAAAATGACGTGAATACAAATAAATCCGGCCGAATCACGCGCACAAATTCAAAATTCCTATCTCAAATTTGAAATTTCGACGGTTTAAGCTTGTGGCGCGCGCGCTGCTGGACTCGAGGACGAAAGGAAAGGAAGCGGCAAGGGCGGCCGCGCGCGCCCTAGAATTTGAATTTGAATTTGAATAAGCGCGGGAAACGAGACTCGGAGCAACGAGCGAGCAGAAAACAACAAAAAAAGCCGCGAAAATCGTGCTTTTCATCGGCGCAGCTGTTATGAATAATTTATTTTACGAAGCTGTTTTGATTTTTTGGTTATATTTCTATAAATCTGAATAATAAAACTAACATTACTATTGTTTCACACACAGGCTGACGGAGACAAAGCTGCCAAAGGCAAGGAGGAGGTGAGTTCAGATTTTTTGTTTGTTTTTTTATTAGCCAGAACGTTGATATTACCCAGAAATCATGTTTTCATAACGATTTGATGTGATTAACTGTTGCAAAGTGAGCGGTTATGCATTTTATTCTACGTCTCTTTGTTTTGCAGCCAACAAGACGCTCTGCAAGACTGTCTGCTGTATGTCACTTAACATTTAATCTTTTTAGAATAACAATTGTTGTAATTGCTAATCTTAGTTGAGCCTTGCTTAGGCTATTTTTGGCATGTTTGCTAATTTATTTATCACCTGTGCATTATTTATATAGAGACCAGCCCCTCCGAAACCAGCCCCAAAGCCCAAGAAGGCTGCCCCAAAGGTAATAAATGATAATAAATTTAATTTGTCTATTACATTTAGCTCAACAATTAATGAAAAATAAATAAGAATAAAGCATTTCAGTAATTAAGATGATAGTTGTGTGATTGTTTTAAATGATTGCTGAAGAAAAGGCACATAACTTTGTAAACGCATTTATAACTCTTGTTAAGAGATTAAACTTACGTTTACATTTCTACTGGGGTTCTTCATTTTTGTAATGGTAAACTACATCTAAAGCAATCAGAAAATGATTAAGTCTGATTGATAATTGTTGTAATTCCGATATATTATGTATGTATTGAACTTGCAGAAAGCAGCTAAAGGGAAGAAGGCCAACCCTGCTGAAAATGGAGATGCCAAGGCAGACCAGGTATGTTGATGACATCAGGCCATGATTGCCAAACTTCACAGTGTAAATGTGCTCATCACGATTCAGACTCTTACAGTGAAAGCAGTTAGTACTCTGAGATTATTGCTAATTCAATAAATAAGTTATTTATAGTCCCATTAGCATCAGGAAAATAAGATTTTACTAACTGGAACCAAGATAGCTTTTGTGTACCTTGGCTGCTTCAGCATTTTGACACTGTAATCCACACTAATGCATAGCCGTTAGAGTTAAAGTTAGTGTTAAATTTGTTAATATACAGTGCCTAACGTTGTGATCATTCCTCTCGTCTCTTTCTTTCAGGCGCAAAAGGTCGAAGCCACCGGAGACGCCAAATGAGAAGCAAATGAATTGTTTAATTCTTCTGTGTACTTGGTGACTGTACAGTTTGAAATAACTATTTTTTACCAAGTTTTATATTAAGAATATCGTTTATAGTTTAATTGTTGTTCGCTTTCATATCCATTTACGCCCCCAGTCATTAACGAAGCCGCCCATACCTTGCCAAAATGATTTCCCTGGCTAAATTGGTTGATAAACTCCTGAATGTTTCCTACATTTTGGGATTTGGGTTTTTAAAACATATTTTAAACACCAAACATTCTCATAAGGCAGCTATTGTGTGTTTTTAAAATATTTTGGGAAAGAAGTTTCCTTTTTTTTCTTCCTTCTTCTTCTTTTTTTTTATTTGTGTACTTACAACAATACTGTTTTAATTTTTGCATTATGTTCTTATTAACGCAGTTAAAACGAAATGATGGCTAAATTTCATGTAGGAAATCGACCATGATTAAATTTGCAATATGGAAGTAACAATTTTCTTCAAACTGTTATAATGTCGTTTTTATTAAGTTATACGCTCCAATATTGGAAGGATGTTTTGTGACTCCTAAAATTACTTGTTCTAAATGGTTTTGAATAAATAAAAATTTCAAAAGAATCCCATCTGTTCAGCATTCATGTTAATTGATTTTAAAATGCATAAACCGGAGGGGAAAATAATGTAAATGCAGTTATATGTTGATAAGTCTGGAGGACATCTGCAACGCTCCTGAATTTCACTTTCGAAGCACTGGACGATGAGCCAGTGATTCTTATCACGTGTATTGAAGCTGAATAAGCTGAGATGTTTAGGCTGGGCTGGAGAACTAGTTTGTTATACTCTGCTGTTGAGCATGTTGCTTACTCCAGGAGAATGGTATGCTGTAGGCATCTGCAGAATAAAGAAAAATTGGGGGGTGGGGGTCAATTATTTAATTTTTAAACGAAGTCAACACATAAGACATTACCATTTTCTACTTAACTGGCATAATTTTAAACCTTGTTCTAGAATGGGTTCCACTCAAAAAAATTGGTATTCAGTAGTTATATTACTTTCTAAGGTCATATAACAGGATATTTTGATTGCTTTAAACATAATATTAACACTAAACAATAACAAAAGAGCGCATACAGATGGATGGATAATAAATAAGTGCAATTTTCATGAATGAAACAATCTCAACACATTTTATTTCTCAAAACAAAATGATTGTTTATCTATCTTTTAATTGTCAAACTATATTTTCATCAATTGTTAATACTGCATGGTTGCATTTACTATGATAGATGCCACATTTTGTCAGTGTGGAAGCTCCTTTGGCCTTAAAAAAGTGTGTTCTCACTATTCTAATATGTATGATTCAACACAGCTCAGCTCAGGTAGCCATTAAGTTGGTGTTTTAGAGGGAGAAAATACTAAAATGTGAAGAACATGGGGTTTTGTTAGCGTTAGCAAAACAGTCTACCATTATGCCAAGTTCCACAGTTGCTTAATGGCGGTTGTAGTTTTGCTAACAGCCCACTAGAGGGCAGTAGAACACAAAATACTGCACTACTAGCGACCAACGCCTTAAATACTCATTATTACACCAGTTCAGGCTCTTGACCAGCAGAGGGAGCTCTTCGCATTCAGTTTAGGACTTTTACAGCAGAGCGAAATTCCATCAAATTCAGGACAAAAAAGTCGAGATAGCTCTGGACACTTGCCTTGTATGTTTTGTGACTTATTTATCTATTTATCAAAGAATACCTTATTTTAATTTATGTGCAGTGATGGGAAAGCAAATAAACTGCTCTCCTTTGCACATCATAAAGAAAAATTACTCCTCCAAGAAAATCACTTGCAAACAATAAGAAAGATTAGTGAAATTAGTTTTATGTTCTATTCCATGCTGGCCAAGCTGGCCCACTGTGATTATAGGTTTTTCATTTGCTGTTATATCCAGTCTTGGTATCCATAATCTATGAATCTGATTAACTACAGTGAAACAACAAAGTGCAAAACTGATTCAGAACCTAAAACCATACATCATCATCAGTGACGTGTCCTAAAAAAATCCAGTGCGTACAGGATGGATTCAAAGCAAAATACAGTCTTGTGGCCTATTCAAGTAAGTAGAGCACACTGGACTCTCCCAATGAAGAATCAAAGCCGTCATGTGTTCATCACCTATTAAACTATAATAGAAAATGAGTAAATCACACATTTAATGTCTTCAGTCAAAGAGAAAAAGGTTATTGAACATAAAACTCTTGCACTAAATATAATGCAAGTGGCCTTTCCTGTAAGTAACCTTAAGAGTCAGAGCTCATAAAGCACCATCAAACCACTGGAGGTGGTTTAAAGTGACCGTTCCAACAAATCAGCAATGTTTATGGTCTACATTCCATGAATACATATATATATATATATATATATATATATATATATATATATACATGCATTATGCAAGCAGTGCAGGGCGGCCATAAATCAGGCCACTTGGACAGCTCGCAAAGAAAAGTACAACAAGGCAGTTAAAGAAGTATGACAACAATGACGTGATGAAATGCTCTGGGATAAAAATAACTGCTGATTTCATGTTCTTTGCCGCAATTGGTCTTCCTAGCTATGTACTTAGCACAATAACTTAATAAGTATAAAGGAAAGGGAGTGAGTTGGATTTCTTTACCAAACTTTCAGCAGAATACACCAAACCAAAGAATCTAATTCCCAAAGATTCCTGTGGTTTTACTGACCTGTTGTACTGAGGAAAAAGAGCAAATAGAACAGGTGGTTTACATGTGGTATACACTCATTATTTTGTTTGGCCTGCATGGATGAAATGGCCCACAAAAGGTCTTGTATTGTTCTAGCAGCCTAGATTAGACTCTGATGAACGATCTTAGACCTGTAGGACCATATTCAAAGGACTAAACTGTAAGATGTAAGCAAGTTATTCAGAGTGGTTTGGTGTGAAATGGTTGATTGTAGAGACTCAGGTTTCATTACAGTGGTGGTGGGGAATATCTCGCCTTACAGCACCCAGCATGTATCTCTCCACCATGAACAGATTTAAACATGATGTACCACAAAGCTGTCGTCAGACATCAGGTGACATATTTCATGAGACAAGCTGGATGTCCGATACCTAGCACCACACTTCTGACTCAGTAGAACAGAGCATTTCACGCCAAGCTCTGAATGACTTTGTTCACATCTTAACCATTGAATTGAACAGACATTTTAGGAGAAAATGTGGAATCCTCATTTAAAAGAGCTTTTATTCTAGTGTTTGCTTTCCTTTCTGATTTGATTGTGGATGGAAAGGAGCTAGTTAGCTTCATAACTTGTTAAGGCATTTCATTAGCTTATTAGCATTAGCCATTATTGTAAAGAGAACTGTTATCTTGGTATTTTCTTATTTTCTAAGTGGTGGAAATGAGCTGGTAGCTAAGCAGAACATCTTTCCTTGAGATGTTGTTGCACATGGACAAAATGAACGTTAATGACGTGAAGAAACATGAACGCGCATTTTTTTTTCTCCAAATAGTTTATCATCATACTGACCTTTGGTCCAGTAGACTATATGGAATCTGTTATGAATGTAATATTTATTAATCAATCAACCTTTATTGAAACTCAGAGTACATTGAGGTCGTAATCGAGTATCGTACAAAAAAGAAGGAAATAAAAGGAGTAAATATACATTTATGGTAGTAAAAGTAGCAAAATACGACCAAATTATTATTAAAAAAGTACGTAAAAATAAAAATTAGGAAATGTTAAGACATATCAGGACAACCAATTCATACTATTAAGCAAATAAGTAATAAAAAAGTAATAAAAGTAAGTAAATGATGTAGAAAACAATACTAAAACTATAATGGTAATGATAAAATGATAAAATAGTTAAAATAAGTAAAATAAAAAGTGACAATAAAAAATATATAAATCAGCCAAAAAAACAAGTAGAAGTTTATATTTATCTGATATATAATGCCATATATAGTTTGCAGGGAGTTTGAAGTGTTCATGCTAAAAAACACAATAAAACCATGACCATGCCGGCGCGCACGTGCCTCTGTGGCTCCTCCCCCTTCTTCTATATAGGCTTCCTATACAACCTACATTCTGAACACCGTGTGCTTTCAGCCTCAACCTCACTTCAGACACATCCACCGGCAGCAGTTGCACATTTGGGTAAGAAACGGACTCTTTACATGTCCTGGTTTCATTTATTTTGCTGTGTCGTGGCCAAAGTTTAGTCTGCCATTCATTCAGAGCGGCTCTGATCACCACAGATACGGTGTGACGCTTTGTTTACAAACAGAAGACCAAAACGTGAAGAACAGTTTAGTTTTTCTGAAGCCTAAGTAAATGACAGAGTTCACACGAGCTAATTAAGGATCAATTGATTTTGTTTTGTTTACAATTTTTCTTGTTTTTTTCTGTTTTTGTGATTTGCCAGTCAACTTAATGTCTCGTTCCCTCATAATTAGTCCAGTTTATACAGACCAGACTAACTTCTGAATTGACCCAGATTGGCTTTGTAGTATGTGTGCATGCATTTGAAGCAGAGTTGCATTACTTTTTTGCTCCTTTTTAATGGGTTTTAGTGTTGGGAGCAGTCGTTGACTATTTTTTCGCCACTTTTCATTCTAATTGTCCGTTCCACCTTAAATTTTGCATTCTTATGCATTATAAGAATGCACCATTTAAGGTGGAACGGACAATTCGAATGAAAAGTGACGAAAAAATAGGCGTGCTTGTGAAAACTGAATATAAGCTGAGTCTGGGGAAAGTTAGCGACGGGGGGCTCACGTATGGAGGTGGTCTGTTTTGAGAAAGCACATTATAGGACTTCTTATCACATTATCTCCTCCCTGCAGCTGTAAACGTTTTACAAGCACTAGTACAGTGTTTCTTAACCAACTGTCTTGCACATTTAAGTGTTTTTCTATTTCAATACACCCACTTTAACCTAATAATGGGCTCTTAAAGAGCTGATGAGTTGGATCAGGGGTGTTGGGAGCAGGGAAAACACTAAAAAGTGCGGGGCAGTGGGCCTCCAGGACCAGGCTTGACAAACACTGCACTAGTGAATGCTGAATTGTTCAGTAATGCTGCTCCTGTAATGTCTGGACCGCAGACAGAGTAGACTCTCCAGGTCTTTGGAGAAACAATGGAACATTTAAAGCTCCATTGCATGGAGGATTGACATGACCTTGTCATGAGTTGACCATTGGGTGCCAAGTAAAAGAAGTGAAAATCTTGTTTGGTGAAAATCTTCAGTCCAAAGCTGTGAAAGTCAAGTAAAAGAGTAAACCTGATCTAGAACATCTAGATCATAGTAGAACAGTTTTGTATAGTGTGGCCCCTTTGGAATTGACTCCCGAGAGTGGGGGAGGGTCTCTTAGAGTACTCAATGTTCCAGCTCAGTCTTGTCTCATAGTTCGACTTGCGCAGTCTCTATGGTGTGAATTTGTTTTGGACTATATTTAAATATTTCACATGCATAAAATTTACAATATGATCACCCTAAACAATTAAACATTGTAGATTTTTTATAGATTTTTACCGCATTTGAGTGCCAGCTGGCCTTTGAACGTTTCATGACAAATGGACCAATAAAAAGGGTGCAACAAGATTTGAAATGAAATATAATTGAATTTAAACTGTATTTTTTCCTTTGTCGTGTAAACATACCCTTTTTGAGTTTCTCTTTTTAAAATTCTTGACTACAGGCATAAAATCCAAAAAGTGCCGAATTGCACAGACCATAGTAAGTGTAAACAGATTACATTTTATACAGAGGTGCTAATAAGCCTCTGTTGCTGTAGGATTAAAACTGCTTTAGCTGACCTCTTATCCCTAAAGACTGGTTTGTTTGGACACATAAGATGCCTTGGAATGTCATCAATATTTGTAGTGCATACTCCTGTTTCTCTGGTTTGAAGAGATTTTTATTGTGTTTTTTCAGTTCACTCACATATTGAGCTAGTTTTTGAATAGCTGTGGCCAAATGGCAGGATGAAAAGAACCTACTGACCACAGCAGGTTTAATTTAATCACACTTTAGTTGATCTTGTTAGAATTTGAAGGTAGAGGTGCCTCTTTTAGCTTTAATGTTTAGTTAAGTGTGTGGTCATTAGCATTTCAGTAGAAACTGTTAGGATGCACACTTGGGTCCAGTTCACTGGACTTTTAGGTGTTCTATTCAGAGAAGCAGCTGTATACCTCTGCATGCTGATCATTTAAGGGCTAATCAGTTTAAGTCATTATGCCTTTACTTACCAGCTTAATAGCATAGAGATGCTGATATTGTAATGGCTCTTTATAGTAATGCAATATATTGTGAATACTAATATGCTAGGTGTGTTTTATGTTTTTGGGTAGATGTGTTGCTATCTTTGCATTCTCCAGGCTGTTTAGCTTCAGACGGAGGGAGGATCAACACACACACACACACATACACATACAACAGCCATGTTGGAAATGCAGTGTGCACGCGACAGAAAGGTGGGGAGGGGGGTGGGGAAGGATGGACAAATGAAGGCAGGGAGGGATAAAGGGAGGGTCTTGGGCTTGAGTCGACAGTGTAATGTTGCGTAAGGCAGAGTACCCAGCCTGTTTGCTGGTTTTGTGTATGTGTGTGCACTATGAACACTGACCAGTCTTTATCGATGAGCTTAGGCATTTACATGTTCCATATATAGTGAGACAAAAGCTTATATCTCAAAAATGGTGACTTTGCAGGAGAAGAAAAAAAAATTCTTAAATTTTGAATGGATTTCTATTTTCCTTATCATCCTGCCTTCCCTTACAGCTGTAACAGACCACCAGCTCAGTTAAAAAAGCTGCATCCACAAAGCTGCTGTTGCTGCTGAAGCCATAGCCAGCACCACTCCATTGTTTAGGCAGAGAGGAGCATTTCGTTGGCAGGGATCAGTGGGAGACCCCACACTCAAATCACACACAGAGGGGGGTGGGTTGAATTGGGAGAGAGGGGAGGGATTCAGATCTTGTGGAAAGCAGTGATTGGCTAGCTGTATGAAGGAGAATCTTCATATTCAAAAGAATTCCTTTTATGGCCACTGTTGTACCTTTTGAGGGTACATTTACATTGTTTGTACCTTGATGTATGAAAAATGTACCTTCACAGTACCTTTATTTCTAACAGGGTGTTCATTGTGGTGGTGACAGGAACCAGACATCAGCCTCTAAAACCTTCCTCATAGAAAGTTATTGAATGAAGTGGTTATGAATACGCTGCCTGATGCCTGAGACATTGTTTTATGATAGTTTTGACCTGAAACATATTTCTTTAAAATGGATTTATGGTGGAGAGGCGCATGCAAACAGTTGTAAAGCAAAATAGTTCTAAAAGAATACTTCTTTTTCCAGAGTGTCCACCATTTTTAAACTCGGATGACACAAGTTCTCTGGTGGTTTCGGATAGTAAATAAAATGGTTATATTTGTGTTGTAGACAAATCGACCCTTGGTTCCTATCACCACCACTGTAAAAAAATATGAGTCTAAGTTTCTCTACGATGAACAATTTCACATCAGACCACTCTGAATGACTTTTTTTTTTTTGCAATGATTGAATTATGCAGAAACTTTCACATTATGTTCAGTGTGATTCCATTATATTTGCATGCCTGATTTGTTATATTATGGTACATGCCTAATAAGCTGCGTCATCTACGCACACCACAAGTTGGGTTTGTGATTCTTATTTCGTGTAGAGCACCAAAAATCGGGAACCAAAACAAAATTTGCCAACTCTTTTTGGCTACGTAATGTACTGATGCAAGTTTCAGCAAGCATAGTATAAGCACTTCTATAATCGGCCAGGTGAGCAGGTTTTAGCACCAGTGTGCTTTTTCTGTGGATACATCATAGATGTTATGCTGACAAATAGGAAATCTCATTAGATGTTGCAGTGTCAATGTAAACCGATTTTACAGTGTAATTGCAAACAGCATCTCTGTTGCCAGTCGTTAGGCTACTATGGGTTCTAAACATCTTGGCTGAGGGCGAATAACATGAACGCGTTAGATTAAACTCTAACCTGGCGTCCATAACAGCTACAACATACCTTGTTTTGACCAACCTCTGCAGCCAGTCCCAAGTAAAGCTGTTCATATATGTTAACACTCTTCACCTTGACATGCCCAGTATGTCACAAACCTCCAGCCGAGATTTTCCACCGTGAAGAGAAAACCCAGTCACTTAATCTGATTATTTGCAGGTACTGCTAACAAACTGCTTAGACAGCTTAGTAACTGCTCTTCACCTTGGCTGGACGGATTAAAAAGGCCTTTTGTGGCCAAACGTTTGATCTCAGCCAGGAGACCTGAACTTGGCGAGAAACTCCTCAAGCGTTTTGCCATGGGCTCCTAGTGGTCAACTTTGCCTTACTTTTGCTGCTATTAATGCGGTTTGCTTAATCCAATTATTCAGAGTCATGTAGCTTATTAAAAGGAGCCAAGTACTTTGAAGGATGACAACTTCCTTACTGAAGAGAATCCTTCATGGAATACTTTGTTTGGCAAACAGGTTATTACTTTTGGAGAACATAATCTGATTGAGCTTCATGTAATATCTTTCCTAAAGAAGATAACCGTGGAATCTTTGGATGGCGACCTTCATTACATCATTGTGGCTGACCAGCAGGGATGCTAACTGTAACTATCAAGCAAGTGAAGTGGAATAGGGTTATATAATAGCAAAATAAACCGTGCCGAGCCATGTGGTTCGACATCACGAAAGGCGTACGTGACGGGAGAGATTTCGGCATAAAGAGGCATGCTAGTTTTTGCTAACGCCACCTAGATTGTCTTGGAACGGGTGGGGCTTTTGTTGTAGGTTGTGGCTTCATGGGAATCATACAGGCCATTATAGATTACGTGCCAACATGGCTGCTAGGTACCCACATTTTAAAAATATATTTATTTATTTTATTCCCAACCCCCCCCTCTCTGTGGTGTTGTGGCGGGCACCCGGTGGAAGCCACAAAGACTGTGATCCATTCTGACAGCTGGCAGAGAGAGAGAGAGAGAGAGAGAGAGAGAGAGAGAGAGAGAGAGAGAGAGACACACACACACACACACACACACACACACACACACACACACACACACACATACCGTCACTCCATCTGATTGGGTGGGATGGGCCTTTATAAAAGGGCAAAGCTCTAGCGTGAGCTTCCTCAGTTGAACAGGAGTCCCTGCATGCTTAGCTGTCTCGTCCTGTAGTTTCCAGTCTATGAGGATTTTCTTTACTTGGCTCTGCAACCACAGAGCACCTAACAGCTAAAGAGTTGTGCTGGTATCCATTCCAGCTGTTCGGGACTTTCCTTCCTGCCTTGGAGCAACTTTTCATAACTGCGCCGTGTTCTTCTGTCGGACTGCTTTGATTCTTCTCACATCTGCAAGTTTGCAACCAGGTTGGCAGACTTATCCTGGACACGTAGCTTTGTATGTTTTCCCTGCACCTCCTGTACCCTCTTCCTGGTAGCTAAACTCACTTCCTAGCCACTGTGTTGTCCTATGAAAGGTTCTTAAAAGACTGCCTTTGAGACGCTTTGATGCCTTTGCGTCTGTGGTTGTGGTTTTCATCCAGTTGTGGTTTTCACCCACAGCTTTGGCAGATTGGTAGAGAATTGGTGGAAATCCTTTTGCGCCCTTATCCATGTATTCCTCCAGTTCTCAAATATGCTAGTTTCTTAGATAAAAGTCTCTTCGAGGGCTTTACTGAGGTGATATTTAAGCAACAGTGATGACAGATTTATAGAAATTCCCAAAATGGTGTCTGTAATTACAGTTTGAGTTGGGATGGCTCATTCCTTTTCATTTGCTTTAGCCAAGTTAACTGCCAGTAGCATGATAACTTGGCTGTACCATGAATGGCAGTACTGGTCAGATCCAGCTCAAACATGCTTATGTAATAAGTCTTGCATTCCCTTATATTTGGTAGCATGGCAATGGATCAAGTAGGTCAAATCCAAAACCTAGATCACACGGAAATGTCCAATGTCCAAGCATGTGGATTTGCCTCTCTGTATGAGGTCCGAGAATAGGATCAGCTGGACTTAGTTTGCCATTGCCCAAGGCTAGAGACCTTTCTCTGGCGTCGACTGGGTTTAACATGGCAGAGCAAAACGGCATCTCTGTTCGGATTCTTTCACTTGATCAGAGACTCAAAATAGTGGATGGTAAACTTTCATTGTTTGAGCTAAAATGATCTTATAGCTTTTGAAAAAGTGACAGTTTTGTTCACCACAGCTTGGATGTCCAAGAACTAGGAATGTAAAAAATGCTTTGATTTGAAGGTGCTGTTTCAACTGCATTTTGGAAAGTCAGAATTGAATATTAGCAGTTTGATGACCTATAAAACATAAATTACTCAGCTTTAGCACCTGTGCTTTAGGTTCTTACATAACGCATTTTTATTCCTTTGTCTACACCAAGGGGAACGCATCAAAATTATAGCTGGTGGAAACTGAACCCAGCTACAGATGCATCAGATAGAGATTAGGTTGAAAAATTTTGAAATGTTCCTGTAAATACACTATGCGTTGTAAAACTTGAGGCTTTAGAGATGTCTTTTTTTTGTCCTCCAGGTCCATCAGGTGTCTTCTGTAGGTCCATCCTAGCAGTGTACTCACCAAAACCTGCAAGTATGATCATCAGGCTGGGACGCTTGACCCCTGGATACTTCCGTCTCCTGCAGGTATGTGTCCGTATGTCTCTCAAATGGGTACATTGAGTGCTTTTTTTCATTTCACTTGCTGTCAATGTCAGTAAGTGAAATTAACCAATGGTGTCTGTTTAGAGTCAGGGATTGCTCTTGTAATTGCTTTTAGGCCACTTTTAATTTTGTTTTCAATTTCTGCATAATTAAATAATAAATATGTAGACAAAGTCATGAAGCGATGTTTCGTGTTTAAATGTGCTGTTCAATAGAAACTTAGTTGTTCACAGTAGTGGTGAATGGAACCAGACGTTTGAAGTTTAAAGCCTCTAAAAGCTCACAGAAAGTTGTTAATGAAATGGTTACGACTGTTCTTGTTTCGAGCTTGTTTAATGATAGTTTTGAGAAGCGCTTGGCATAAAGCATTATTTTTAAAAATGTTTTAATCCTTTCATGGAGGTGGGGGGGTGCACACAGGGCATTGTGAGGCAAAACAGTCCCCAAAGAAAACTATTTTACCATCTGCAACATTACATGTAAAACTCTGGTGACTCTGAAGTCACTGGTCACTTTGCATTGTCAATAAAATGGCTGTATTTGTGCTGCGGTTATTGCACCGTCTGGTTCCTATCACCACCACTGTAAAGAAACCTGAGTCAGTAAGTTTCCACTTTGAATGAATCTTCATGGCTGAACTATGCAGAATTTTTTAAACATTGGTGGAATTCCCCTTTAATGGTGGTAAAATGATTGTAATGGCTTTTAAATGAATAATAAATGATATCAGAATGAGGAAATGCCCAGGAGGATAATATCAAATATGAATTTACGGTCTCGGCCTGTTGGGTTCCAGTTAGCTCTGAAAGGTTAATCCTGCGCTGGCTTACTGTTGGCCTCAGGACAATAGGACTGGTGAGCTGAATTAAGGCCGTGTTAACTTTGGAAATACCAGCTCGGACACATCCGGTGTGAGTTGGTCAGGATTCGCCTGACTGGAAATGCAAAAATAGCATGAAAACCACAAAAAAGAGAGATTAAATGATAAATCATAAGAATTACAATGAGGTTTGTTCAAATAATTACATACATTCAGACTCACTATAGTGACTCACTGTAGCTTTGCTAGCAAAACAGTTTCTTCCCCATATGCTTATACTGGATGTCTAAAGTAATGAAGAAAGAGTGATTAGTAAATCTTAGTAATCTTAAGTACCTTTATCGTCTTTCTATTCTTAGTCCTCTCTAAGCCCTGTTTAATCTGTCTGTTTTAATGGTTCTTGCTGAAGGCTTGTTAAAACCTGATTAGCGGCGCCACCTTGTCATTAACTATTGAGACCAGTTTTCTACCCGAGTTGACATCGGCTGGGACAGCTCTTGTGTGTGTTTCAGCTGGACAGTCTGGGCCCATGAACCTAAAGACCCCTAGTGAGGCCCACCTCGGTCACTGTTAAAGCCCCGGCTGCTGATCGAATTACAAAATGTGTCAAATTCTGGCTGTACAGATTTTTTGTTAGCATTTTTTTTCTCTCATTTTCACCACTATGGTTATTTTACTAAATTAGTACTCCTGGCAGGTTTTGCTAAATAATGCTATTTTCAAAATACGCCTTTCTGTTCAGTTTTGGTGTCTGTCAAACTCTCCTGCAGTCGTCTAGCTGTCGGAATCACTTTCCGTAAACGCATTGCTCCGCCCCTTTCTCTCCAAAAACACACTGCCCCCTCTGAATATTTAATCACTGTACTCCAGCCGTTCACCCAACCACACGGCTTTATAAAAGCTTCCATTACAATGGATTTATGAAGTGTCGGGAAAGCACTAATGCTCCGGATAAGAGGACGTCCGCCTTTTTCATTTTTAATCAGACTGTTTAGCTGTGTAGATAAACCAGAACAGTGAAACCAAATCACCCTATTTACACAGCGACCATTTGGCAGAGAAATGGAGTGAAAATTAGACGTCTAAAGTTTGAGTTGAAAGTACAGAAAATGGGCAAATGGGTCTACAAAGAGAATCATGCAGCTATAGAAGCCCTATTCTTGCTAGTTAGGTGAAAATTCCCCTTTTTCTACTGTTTCTGGGAGCAGTTTGACATAAATCAAAAATTTGACTTATATTGAAAGTTTGCTTTTTTTTTTTAAATGATGACTTATTTTATCAAAATGGTAGACATGTTATCAAGATCTAGTATGTTGAAATAATAAAATGTTCTCATTTTTTTCTTTTTTTTTACTTTATCATAAAAATCTGACATGTTAAAACAGTATTCAGTTTTAAGAAATTAACTAATTATTTCAGAATACGTCCTTTTTTGAGATAAAAAGTGACAATATTGAGAAATTAAGTCATTATTTTGAGATATCAAAATATTAAAGCAATTATTTTTTGTTTAAGAAAAAATATTGCAAAAAATTATTTCCAGATGCCAAAAAATAAGCCGTTTTTTTTAAACAATGTATCAATGTTGAGAAAGTCGTTACTTAAAAAGTCAAAGAGATAAAAAATCAAAGTATTGAGGTCATAAGTCATATTTTGAGGTAATGTTTGAAAACATTGAGAAAGTAATTTATTATTTTTAGATAATACGTCAATGTTTAGAAAATGTCATTATTTTGAGGTTAAATTTAAAACTGACATAATGAGTAAAAACTGACCTATTGCTCCTGAATATGTTTCCATATGCAGTTCATATTTAACTTCTAACCCTGACTCTAACCAGCATAATGACTGCTGTGTGAATAAGGCTAATGCTGTCTGTCTGTACTAACTTTTTCCTTTCTGTCTGTTTTTGTGTGCCATTGTAGAGGCAGGTAGCCGGTGAGGTTCAGACGCAGCCACAGGACCGCGCCCTCAACCAGATTGCCATGATGTTGGCCATCATGGGCCTCAGCCTGTCCTACTACAGCGCCAAGCAGATGACCGAGAAAGTCCAGCGTGTCCCTGGGCCCTGAAGTGACCCTGAACTCTGTATGCCGGAGCTGAAGAAACCAAAAAGCTGAATCGGAGATTGAGATGGAGAGTTAAGGAGAGACAGAGATTAATGAAGTTGTATGGCACTGTTTTACACTAACATCGTCACCATAAGCCTAAGACACTGGAGTTCACTCACCATAAGAAGAGAGTTCAGGGCTGCTGCTGGGTGTTCCTCTGACTGCAGCTTAGCATAGAATGGGTGGGCGCAAGTTGGCACTGGGGCCAGAAATCAAAGCCAGAAGGAAGCTGAATATGACCCGTGTCGATGGTTGCTGTGGTACGTGCACCACAGAGCCCCTTCAGTAAATTCAGGTGCTAGCAGACAATATAATACTGTTTTAAAGGGAATGACCCAGTAGCTGGCTACCTTGGCTAAGAATCAGTGCCCTTTAAAGGGAAGCACCCGCTGTATTTGTATGTATCAAACAACTATTGAACACAGGCCGGGTAAAAACGAGTAGTAGCTGGGTACTATGTCTGAGAATAAATGCCTTTGAAAGGGTGCAATATGTGAGCAACCATTGACAGCAGGCTGGATTAAAACAGGTGATTTTTTTTTTTAGGCTGTATAGCTGCAGGCAAGATGCCACAGCATCCTGAGAACTCTCACTGGAAAAGAAGTAAACATGGTCTACACAACTGAATGAAATTCAATTTCTTTTAGACACTGTGAACATTTTTACTGTACTGTCAATGCAAGCCTGTAAATTCATTTCTTGGAACAAATCTAGACCTGGTTAAAAGGGACTTTTTCCTCCTTTCCAACTTTGTTTTGTATTCCTCACTTTTTGTTCTTGTTTATATGTATCTGCAATGCCTATTAGGTGTTTAATGTGACATTTCTAATGCATGAGTGTAAAATATTAAGTGAAACTGTGATAATGTTACTAAGGACTTCTATGGTAATGAATGTACGTTGCTATTTTTTTTAAAAAAAAACAAACAAATAAAGCTGTGAAGATTTTGAACAAGATGGCCGCCTGCCTATTTGAAATGCATTATATGTTTGAACAGAAATGCAACAGGCTCGTCTGCCTGCATCTCTTGCCAAACGTCTGGACAGGTACTCTTCCCTCTGTCAGGAGGCCAGTAACTAGCAAGTAAATGAACTTTCCAAATAATGTACACCTCGGGGTATTTCACAAAGCAGGATTAATTAGTGACTTTCTAAAGTCAAATCTGTTCAATATGAAACAGGCTGAAGGACATTCCCACTGGGCAATCCTCAGTTTTGGGCCCAAGTTATCTGGCTAACTTAAAAATCTGTTTTGTGAAAGACTCCCTTGTTACAGAGCCTTCGAACTGCATAAGCGCTTTACGACACAGAAATTGCACTTTAACGGCTCACAAATTGGTAAACTAGTTAAGTTCTAAGTGAGTTTAAGTTGTGACATCACAAAATAGAACATTCACTAACACTTTACTGCAGGGTAGCATTCATAAAGCTACATGACACCTACATAAGCCTTTAATAACAGCTGACCTAAACCTACAGTAACATTTATAAAAACTTATTTCAGCAACCATCAGTTGTTATGATAGACTTATGAACACAGAACCAGATTGCCAATGATTCAGCCTGTCTTACTGCAATACCAAGCAGACTTGAGGGGCTCGGAAGTGACCCTAAACTCTGGCTTGTTTGTGTTGCAGAGCTAAATAAACGCCAAGACTGATCGAGATGGGAACATTTTCTGATACCACATGAACACAACCAACAAAGCTGCCACTGGTCCATCTCAGGACATAGACAGATGTATTGTTAATGTGATAAAGCTACCAGTTGCTGATAAATGCGCAAACCTGGTAGTTACAAGTGACTGACATGTCGATTTTACGATTTCACGAGTTGACAATGACTGTCCGAATGCATCATCATATATCCTATGATTGTCCGGTTTGACTGGCTAGGTGGCTCAGAGCAAAGCAAAGACCTTCTGTTAAAATTTGTACTGTTGGCTGGATGCTGTTCAAACGAATGCAAGCGAGCCATAAGACCATGGTCTTAATATAATAACTCAGCAGACCCTTAAAGAGCTGCGGGTTTGATTGACATCAAATCTAGTTCAGTGAGATTGCTTCCTGAATTGCAACCAGCCAGCTGTCCACAGAAGCGTGCCATCTGTGCCAAACAGGAAGCGGTCAGAACCACAGATAGCAGCTTCCTCTCTGAGCTCACGCTGCGTTGCCTGTAAGTGGTCCGAATCTCTAAGCCTCCTGAATGTTGAGGTACATGGCATCAGTGGTTTGGAGAGAACAGTATGCAGCCACACAATATGTTCAAAAGTTTGTAGACACCAGCATTTCTTCTAAATTCAAGAGTATTCATAGGGAGCAACTTCTACTCTTCTGAGAAGGCTTTACACTAGATGTTGGAACATCGCTGTGAGGATTTGATTGAGCAGTAGTCAGGTCAGGTACTGATGTTGGATGATCAGCTCTGGATCACTCAAACTCATCCCAAAGGTATTGGGTGGAGCTCCATCACTTCAGAGAACTCAGTTCCACAGCCCAGTGCTTGGGGCTATTTATACCCCTCTAGCCCATGTATGGCATTAGGCATGAAAAGCTGAGGTTCTGGTGGAGCTGCATCAGAGTGTCCCATTTTATTGGTCAATGCTTTGCTCTGGAAATTATACAACCTGTGAGTGCGCAATTGAACAATGTTTAAAGTAACTGGATTTAGGTTATAGAAGGTGTCTGGATACTTTTGGCCACATAGTGTAGATGTTGGCAGGAACAGAGGTGCAGTTTTTCTTGCTGGTCCTGCTCTTAAGATGCATTCAAACAGGAAACTTCCAAGTTCACCACAAAGAAATTGCTGCCGAAAGGGCATAAATACAAGTGGTAAATGTGGGCAAGTTATACGTTACTCAAGTTTACGAGGTGAGATATATTACCAACCTGTACTTTCCTTGCTACCATGTGAATAGAGCAGACCAAGGTAGCACTGGTCCACCCCAGCAGATATACTGGCATATGCAAATGTTTGAGTGCCCCTGGTCAAGTTACACATTTTCTTGAGTTTTTGAGTTGAACAATTAAATTAAATGTGATCTGTGCAAAAGTTGTGGAACAATATGTTCTTTTTTTTTCAATATGTTAACCACTGAAATGGCCAGGGCTCGTCGGCAGGCCCAAAGTTTTATTACTCACTTCTATAACCTAAGAATAGCTCTGGCAGTTTGCACTGAAGTCCCTGTAGTTACTGAATTATAAGCCTTAGCATGTAATAAGTCTGAGATTTTAAGGGGTTAAACTAAGCAAATAAATAGAAACTCTGTACTAGAATAAGCATATTTAAATGTATTCTCCGTAGAGGACGTGTTAACTTATTTTTACTTAGAAAATCAATTGCACATGTATTTTTTCATTCAAGTGTATATGCATTTTTAACATTATGACCTTAACAGTTACTAATGACCACCTGACTAGTGGTTATTATTTGGTGGTGTGACAGTTTTCCAACTTGAGATGATGAGAACTGTTGAAATGCACCATAATTCACCCACCTCAACTCAGGAAAGGACTTCTTAACAGCTGATTAATTGGATCTACTGTGGAAGGCAGGGGTATTTCAGCACTGGAAACCACTGGGCTAATGAATCAAAATGCCTTTGAGTGAGAATCTGTGATTCTACTTGGCTAATGAGTTGAAAATGGTATGTTAGCACAGAACTAATGCTTAAAGGGGAACATTACCAATTTTTAAACATTTCTGCCTAATTTTTATGGGTAAGATGTAAACAAAGTAATTCAGAGTGATTTGGTGATAAATGCTATGTTCTAGAGAAACTTACTGAGTCAGAATTGTTCATTGTGCTGGTGATAGGAACCAGTCGTTTGAAGAGTTTAATGCCTCTAAAAGCTCCCTAAAAGAAAGTTATTACATGAAATGGCTATGAATACACTGCCTGATGTCTGAGACATTGTTATATGGTAGTTTTGTAGAAAAAAAGTATTTTAATCTGTTTATTTTAATCTGTTCATGGCAGAGAGATACATAAAGGGTGTTCTAAGGCAAAATAGTCCCCAAAGAAAGTTCATTTTTTCAGATTTACCACTATTTTATCAACATTACATATAAAACTCAGAAGACACGTGTAGGTTTTCTGGTGGTTTTGGATAGTAAATAAAAAATGGCTATATTTGTGTTGTAGACATTACGATCTCTGGTTCCTATCACCACCACTGTAAAGTAATCCAAGTCAGCTAGTTTATATACAATAAGCTTTACAAATGGGTAAAATTCAATTTTTTGTCAAAACATATAGCTGATTATTTTGACTGGCACCACTGTAAAGAAATCTGATTCGGCCAGTTTGTGGAGATAATTTTTTTTTAACTATGCAGACATTTTGAAAAATCGTTGGAATTGCCTTTTAACTCTTTAGTTTGCTCTGGTGTATTATCTTGGCCCCCTTGGTCTTGTACATGTTATCAGTTGCATTATCATTTAAAGGTTGTTGAAAGATGCTAGCAGTACAGGCAGTTGTGAGCTATCAGCGCTATTTACAACTGGGACATCAGATAAGAGTGAATGGGTGAGGATGTGTTTTTGTTGTTTGTCAGTCTTTGTCCCTTATTGTAAGGACAGACTGTTCACTTATAGGTTTTCTTGAAAGTACTTTGTTGAGTCACATAGGCAGATGTCTGGTGTTGAGCTCAGTTAGCGTGAGAGAAACAAGAGGAAGTTTAAAGTAGCGTGAGGATCCGCGCTAGCTCGTGTGCTAGCACGTGCAGTGGCTTCCTTTGCTGATCTACTGCTGCTGGCAAAATATTTAAAGCAGTGGTTTCTAGTAATAGTCCAGCAGTACCCTTGCCTTTTTCTGTGCTAACGCAGACAATGCAACTAATTTGCTGATTAGAAAGCCACTCCTGAGTTGACATGTTTGTGTTAGAGCAAAGATATTCAATCTTCAATATGTTAATGGTGAAAAATCATATGTACAGAATTTACCAATTACTCCGATGTAGTCGATCAGCCAAGATATGTTTGGTGTCCAAATTTGGCTTTTTATGTTTAGCACTGGAGCCAATGTTAAACCACTAGAAGTCTAAAAACCACTAGAAGTCAATAGTCATCCAAATCTTTTCTGTAAACACGTTGGAGTGGTCTAGAACAAATGTTGTGCTGACAAGTCTGTATGATCTTAACGAAAACTTGGATGCAGTTACAGAGATGTTTTGGTAATGTATTTACCGAAAAAGATTTGGGTGACTATTGGCTTCTAGGGTTTGTTAGCAACGTTAGCCTTGTAGCTCTAGCGCTAAACTAAAGAAGCAAAACTTGCATACCAAATATCTTTAGGCTGATCAGCTACATTTTTGAGGTAAGTGGAAAACTGTGTACATCTTTTTTGCCAAAACATTCCCTTAAGCCAAAAATCACGCCAATAGAAGATATCTGTGATAATCCTATTGGTCGGTTGTCACTTTACGCTTTTTCCTGCTTTACTTACAAATCCTGCTTTAAGGAAACTTCACAAGACCAAAATAAAATATTATAATTCAGAATTTAGGTTTAGATGAACTATATATTGTTTGTCAAGGTCAAACGCCATGAGTTCTGAGTTGGTACTGATGGTGCATTTGCAGGGAGGAGAGTTAAAATACCAAAAAAGGCTGCCCCTGCGGCTTTACAGTCTTCCTGTCTTCTTAATTTCCTCTTTATTTCCTTTTGGCTCACCATAAGCCAGGAGGCTGAACTGTCTAGACATCATACCAATGGGTTCTGACTGTTTCTGTTTGCTGCTTGGTGGAGAAAAGGCCATGCACGTTGCTGTGCACACAGTGGCTGGGTGGGTGATGTCATACTTCAATCTCCCGCCCTGCCTCTCTCCATGCCCACTTTTTTCGATGGGGCGAGACTTCAGTGGGTCACGTGTACTTCTCTCAGTTCCCCATCGCCTTTAACCCCCCCCTTATGCATCACTGGGCAATTCGGCCAAAAAAAAATTCTGCC